ATTGTTCTATAGACACACTATGACATATGTTGGGTTGCTGGGATTATTTATGTAGGGGTTATTAATTGCAGACATGCTATGAGTGTGTGTTGCTCTAACAGGTTGACTGATGAGTCCCTTGCTGGTTTTGCAAAATCTGTCGCCTCGTTTCGTTTATATCTGTCACTAAATACCACACAAGTGGTGTATTTGGTATCTTTCTCCCCAAAATCCAGGTGCAAAATATTGCTTCTTTAACATGATCACAGCCCTCTCACCACCATCAAAACACAAGGAAAAAATATGGGCCTGATAGTCAGTGATGGCTTTTTGTCCTGTGAGTGTTTAGTGATCTATGGATAGCAGGTTTAAGTTATTTGAATTGTTTTGGTTTTAGTTTTTGCTTATGTGTTTTATTTTTGAAAAAAAAAAATGAAGCATTGTTTATTTAGTTATTTAATTACTTAGAAGAATTATTTTTCAGGTCATTGGTTAGTGGTTTGCAAAAACAATTTACATAGGAGAAATTTTTGGAGAATTTTTCTGGATGGAAAATTGTGACCTATATTTGTTTATTTTTGCTGTAAGAAGTAACAGCATTAAAATTGTAGAAAAACTCCTAACATTATTTAACACTAGTTGTTTTCCTGCAGTGTTCCACTTAATCTCATAAAGTAAAACTTATTCAGTGTGATTTTATATATCTTTTTTATTTTTGTTTTTGTTTTTTAATACTTCTACCCAAATAAAAGGTTTAACACCGTTAGTGTCACAGTATATCCCAGTGCTGTGTTACTGTCTGTCTCTATATATCTTGCAGAACATCCATCCATCTGTCTGTCCATCTACCTGTATGTGTTATCTCCTTATATGGTTGTGCATGTGTGTGTGATTAATGGTTGATAGTTAGATTGATAATCTAGGCTCTATACCCCAGTAGGAGGGAGGGGGACCTATCATCTCTCAGCAGATCACTGTCATTAAGATATGTTACAGATAATATTTAACACCCACAGTACTATTTGCTGTTTAGATGTCACAAGTGCTGATCTTTATGATGCTAACAAAAATAGAAAGTCTAATCTATTTCGATCAAATATGTTGCTAGTCAATGCAAAAATTGGACAGTCATTGGAATGAAAGGGTTAAATATAAAGCGCTATTCGCCTCCCCCTTTTTATCTTGAAATGTCCTGGCTCTTAACCTAAATGAGATTACAATTCACTTTCATGCATGTAAAAAGCTAGGAAAATAATAAATGTACTGTTAGTGTATTGTCGCGTATTTCAGATAATTCATTGATTCTCATTATTTTTGGGTTTTTTAGATAATGAATTGCTTAGCATTATTTTCGTTGCCAGTTAAATTATGTTGGATTACCAATATTATTATTTTTGTTTATTAAGATTTACTGCAGGGATTTTTCCATCTATTTTTTTCCCCTCAAATTAGTTGGGTTACACTAGGTTACACTAGGTTTAACCCTGGATTTACCGGATAACAACAATGTAGGTATCATTAGGATATGCTAAATGGCTTATGTTAAATGTGTTGTGTGTTAAACGAAAAAAATATATGTTTTAAAAAGTTACAAGTGATCCCTCTGTGTTATAAGTTAATTATGCATTAATTTGACATTTTTTTGTGAATATAAATTAAGTAGCATTGCATTAAAAAAAAACTGCAAAGTAAAATATACGAATAAAATAGACGATTATTTTAAATACTGTATGATTTTTAATTTTGCCAAATAAATATGTATGCATGTAGGAGGGGAGCAGAGAGAGAATGAGGGGGAAATTACCTTGTAAATTTTCGAAAAGAAAAAAAAACACATATACAAATATTTTTAAACGTGCCTGAATAATAGTTACAGTTACAGTTTAAAATGCGGTCTAAATTCTTCGTTTTGTTTTTAAAATAAATGTACATAAAATAATTAAATATCTCAGACTGCATTGTCCTGTCGAATTGTCACACCGTTATGACAGTGAGCGGGCTTCTCTAAAAGGACAAATGACGCCAAAATAAGGACGTTTTCTTCAATAACCGACAGACTGACAGGCAGGCAATGTATGAATGTTTACACATAATTCCGTGTTGTTGTTATGGAATATGTTATATTTCTATAATATATTATTATATTACATATCACAGTATTAAATATCAGCGCTATGAGGATACAACATAGACATGTGACGCTAATTGTTAGAACATGACGCAAACTGTCAATGCCTACCTGCATTTAGTCTCATAACGTAGCTTCACAGAAAGCTTCTCCAATAGGAAACCATTTGCTATTTCTACATTCTATAAAAGAGCTTAATTGGAAGCAATTTAATGAGGATGTCCCTGTGCTTGGCTAACAGGTAACGGAATATGTTGGTGTAGCCTGTAACTCCATATTGCATGCACCTTTACAGACTTCAAGTTTAAATTACAGCCGTATTCTATGGAACTGAGGGATTGCGAGTACTCACATCGAATTAGACTTCTGTATTCTTCCTGTACACGTGCTGGGTCTCCAGTGGTTTATAGCTGAGAAAAGACACCTTCTGTTTCTATGAAATGGCCAATTCACGACTTACTTATTCCCTTATTCAGTTATAGACATGAACACACACACACATACACATATCCAGTATATATATATATAAAATGAAATATAGGGAACCCTCATTCACACGTCTCAAAAATGTCGTGCTGTGAGTGCGCTCTATATTTAATTTTTTTATATATGTATTAACGCGGGCTTGCACCCAGGCACAATACAAATTGTTGTCTACGTTGGAGGAGTGCCAAGCAGCATATACAGTATATATATATACAGTATATATATATATACACACACACACACACATATATATATTATATATGTGCATGTGTGTGCTAGATGTAATCATATACGTGTGTTTATAGATATATTTTTTTAATAAACTCATTATATATACATAACATATAAACTGCATGTGTATAGTACATTAGTAATATCGTGGACATGCTAATATTAACATCGACAGAACCCTAGTAATTAGTATATATGTGATCTCCAGACAATATTTTGAAGGTTAACTAAGCGTAGCTATAATTGCACACATTATATGCTGTGAAGAGTTGTTTTGATCTAAACACAATCCCTGTTGCTCCTTTTGCATCTAACAAGTTAATCCCTTGAGTGCCAGGTGGGTGAGCCACAAATAAAGCACTAAAAGAACATTCACATATTTTAGGCATGGAATGGCAAATAGTTTACATAGAAGAGGGATGGCTAACCTTGGCAGTACAGATGTTTGTGGAATACATTTCCCAGGATGCTCAGACAACTTTAGGCTGTTGTCGGAATAGAGCACATACAGATAAACACAAACACACACTCAAACAGACACAATAACACAAAACACATTTAAACAGACACACTAACACGCAAACACATACACACACACACTCAAACAGACACAATAACACAAAACACATTTAAACAGACACACTAACACGCAAACACATACACACACACACACACACACTCAAACAGACACAATAACACTAAACACATTTAAACAGACACACTAACACACACACACACAGTGTTGCTATGGGGATCGGCATTACATTTTCTCTTATCTTGATTTTGTCCCATTAGCATGGAGATAAGATGATGTATATAAACTATAGCTCTACAACTTGCTAATTGAGTCAGTTGCGGGTTGCCAGAGGCATCCAATAAATTACTAGGCATTGCATGGATGTTATATCATGACATGGAGTCTGTTCATAGACCAGGCATCAGCTATAAATCTGAGCTGGGTGTCTCTGCACACTTTGTCTTCTTCACAATAACTGTCATCGATAAATCTCTACTTGTTTTCTTTTAGCACAAGTGACCCCAATCCTCCCCAGAAAAAAAAATATGATTTATTGCTAAATCCAGTTGTGTACATTATCGATAAATCAAATATATCACTCGGTAATATATATATATATCTTAATTTAAAAGACGATCAACGATAGATAGATAGATAGATAGATAGATAGATAGATAGATAGAAATATCGGTAGATAGATAGTGTGTCTGTGTGTCTCTGTGATATTTTAGGTATTCTCTATGCAGTGTTTGCACTTAGTGACAGATTTATACTACACTAAACATAGTAAATGAGTGATAGTTTATAAAGTCTTCCCAATCCTGGCTATTCCCCAGTGTGTACTGTATTTCTAAGAGGGAGGTCATTTATAGGGTCCTCCGGCAGTGAAAAGGTTAATCCAGAGGTCTAGTCACTAAACAGTGATCTGAAGATAATCTTGTAAAATGCCTCCCAAAATGTTCAAGTCGAACATAAAAGAAAATTCCAATCTGATTGAAGAGATGTTTTTTAATTGGATAATGTTGGCCTATATTATTCCCATGTCAGCACCCCTGAGTTATTAGTCAATAAAAATAATGTGTGTGCGTTAACCTATTCACTGCTGACGGTCCTTGCAGGCCACCACTGCAAAGCAATCCTTTGTGACACCGCTGTGGCAGTGACGGGGTTAATGGCTAATGGCTATGGATGGTCCGCTATAAACAGTTAAGTGAAAGTTACAATCAATACAGGCTCTGCACCGCAGGTGTACCCAGTGCTTGTGGTGGGACTGTTGCAGGGTACGAGGTCTGGATATGGAAGCTGCTAGTTTATTGATGACCGGACCAGAGCATCACTGTACACACGGAGATCTTGACATTCACCTGCATCCAGACAGAAGAGGCGCTAGAGGAGTAGGAAACAGGAGCCCTATTCAGAATCCGAGGATAGTGAGCACTGTGATAATACAGACTGCTGCCTCAGTCTCCAGAGGAGGTGGCTCTAACTTTCCCCATACAGGCTTTCATTAATTAAGCTGCCAACCCATACTGGGTAAAGGACATTGCATCCATCAGAATACTCTATTTTTACAAGATAAAGCAGCAGCTGTGCAAAGCTCTGGGTTTGATTATTTTATATTTATATTATTTTTTTTCTTGTCTGCTCAATTTATAGAAGGGAAAATTATCTAAGACCTGCAAGGCTTGGTGGTTGGTCTAGAGATATTGGTGTAAAAAATCGTGCGCTGGGTTTATAGGGTAAGATGGAAAAGGAGACAGGACTGCATGCTGTGATGGGAACAGTATAAATAATCCCTGGCTACTGGTGTCTGATCCAAGATCCAAGCTCTGCTCTGAAGACAAGTGAATGTTTTCCCCCTGTGACTCGAGAAGTAAGTACACCTTCCAAGAGAATCCTGCAAGGGTATGTGGAACGTTCAATTTTACCTCCATCTAACAGAGACTGGGGCATGTAATAATCATCTTATTAAACCTAGGATCCCTTTATTATCAACTAACAGGATTCCAATCCTATGGCTGAAGTTGATGGGAGATTCAGGAAGACTTGTATTATGTGTTTACTAAAGTCATGTGAATGCACACTTATTGAACATGTGATAATATCTTACAGTTTGAACCGGTTCAGGTTCGATTGGTCCAATACACAGCCCACAGGTGAAACACTGCACTAATATAGTCTTTAGCTTACTGATACATTTAATAATAATTATCGTGTCACCAATTTCAGTGTAGTTATTTATAACCAAATTCTAGTCTCTAATTTGAAAAAATAAAATAAAAAAATTCTTAGAACAACTCATTTAGGGAAACATGGAATGAATGATTTGCAGGTTGAAAAAAGTCCCTTCCCCATGTCAGTTAGCTTTATGGGTGTATATAAGGTGTATTTATGGGCTGTATGAATACATACGTTTGTATTACACACATTAAGTATTTGGTTCCAGAAAACATAAATTATACGTATTTTTATATTTTTAATTTATAATAATAACAATAATAATAATAATAATAATTATAGCGTATGTCCAAACAAAATGTAGGTTTGTTTAGTTTAAGATAGCTTACGTCTACATTTAAGCCTTGTCATATGGGGTTTATTATTGAATAATGCATTGAGATGAGTTGGATTATTTAAACTTTAAATACTAGTGTTTTAAAACATATATATAAATTTCACACCCACGCTGGATGCATTATTCCATCATTACAATGTTGTTCCTAATTTTACAAATCGGTTCTTAACGCTCTATTTATTAAACAGACCGCAAGATTTCTCTGCAGATTGCTACCAGACAGTAATTTATGTCCCTTATTTAATATGTTCAATTTTCTCCTACGCCGGTCTCAACATATCTCTGTCTCTATACATTTATGCTTTTCTGTAAAATAATAGGCTATTATTCTCATTAATAGTGATATGTGTAATTAATTTTATTTATATCAAATTAACATACACACATTTACATGCATTACCTTATTTAATAATACATCACTTATTGAATGATCATTTCAAATACCCATAAAATGATTTAATTCAGTCCAACCAATCTTCTATTAAGTTGCCACGGTTTATGTGCTGTATTGATCAAATAGTAATTTGTGATGATTTGAGAACCGAGTTGTAAAATTTAGGCCACTACAGCCGAGTTGGGAAAACATATCCAAGTCTAGACCATCTGAATTTTCCTCCCAAATTCGATAATAAAAAAACAAACATAAAAATATGTTTCATGATATAATGTATTTAAATAGAAGCCCCATTCAACCAGAGCGAAATGTTGACTCCATAAAAATCTTAATTAATAAAGTGATAGCAGAATATATATACTCAGGTATCAATATAGTATGCAATTTTTATTTATTAATTTTTTTTCTATATTTTTTTTATTGGGCCATTCATCGCTAGAGACATGAAGTGGTCCAGTTCTGGGTGTCTGCAGCCTGTCCCATTTATGGTACTGAGTGTATGCTTGGCAAAGAGATGGGGGCTGGGGAAACTCCCTGGGAACCTGACACTAAAGGGTTAAGCAGCAAGCTCTGACTGTCTGCAGCTCTGCACAACTATCTGACCTTGCCATTTGCCCTGGGAGTTTTTTTGGGAGATGTGTCTCCAGTTTGATACATACCATGGAGAACTGGACCTATATAGTCAGACACAAACCATGTAAGATTTCACTAGCATGCCCCTACATTGTCACCAGCTAAGTGCATGTTGTGTCTGTACATGATACACAGTCACTTATAACTATATTGATAATAAGTATCAGGATGTTAAGGCATTCAGGGCAAAGATCAGTAGAACATATAATGCTATGGTTGATGTCTGATACACTGGGTGCAAAAACTGTGGAGTTGATTGGGAAAAAGTGAAGATTGTAACAAATAAGTCACCTGATCTGCTGATATGAGGATTAAGGGATGGTTAAACATTATATATACTATGTATGTGCAGGAAATTTAGTCATTGCTTAGAATCTCATTACTGCAGAATAATAAACAAATCGTGACTTTTTTCCAGCAATGCATGCTAATAGGGAGCAGGCACAGTGCTGTCCACTGGAGGTGGGACTGGCCTACTTACACTGGGAGCTTTTAATGACAATATTTACACCAAGAAAACATCTCTAATATACCAGAATTAGGTATTTTTCCACCTCAGGTATTTAGGGTATTTTAGTGAACAAATACAGTTTGAGTGAGCTGACCACAATTTGGGACAATGTATAATAAATAGCATACACAATTATTATTATTATTATTATTATTATTATATTACAATGTAAAATGCATTGTTTAGAGACTTAATTAGAAAGAGAGAGGGGGGAGAGCGAGAGAGAGAAGGAGAGGGATAGAGCAGAGACAGATAGTGGGAACAGACCTATTTACTAAAGTCAGAATTCAAAGGGAATTTCAATGTTAAGTCCAGAGTAGCTGACCTAAAGGAATCACAGAATTTTTCCAGTTGAACTACTTTGAAATTTCCTTTGAATGATCACCTTAGCACACATCTCTGATAGTATACCTTATATATTGGGTGTCAGGCTAAGCTCACACCCTGACATATCCCTACAGTGATCCTGATATGTATTAAATAGGAGGGGCTTAAAGGGTTAAACAGAGCTCTCCTTCCCTAAGTGCACTATTTGAGGTAATAGGGCTGGAAAGGGAGCCCAGGGTTTGTTTCGTTGAAGCTTTATAAAGTTGTATCGTCTGATCTGACTCGGGTTTCCTGCCCTGGGTGTTCATTTTAGAATAAAAGCAACAGGAAAAAATAACAAAGTCACAAAGGTGGGTGTTGACGTTTCCAAACAGGGATAAATGACATGCCCTTTAACCCCTCCTGGGCCACAGAGCTGGGCGGCTGATGGGAATGGCCTGGGAATAAATCTCGAATTGAATAACAAGCCCTGTTATATGAATGGGCAGAGGCACGCATGCTTTTAGGGGCTTATTTACTAAACAACGACTTGTCATGCATTGACTACCAATTTCTGAGACACAATGCAGCCAAGTTCGAAAAGGTCTCTCTGGATTTTAGTGAAATGGAAACCGAATTAAAGAACCGAACTAAACATGTAAAAGCAGCAACTGATTTGAGGTAAAAAGTACTTACGGTTTTCCAACTTGCCATTTTGTTGGCCTGTATTTTGCAATAAAACTTTCAAAAGTTGGTGTTTAAAATAAAGTTTGTGTTAACTTCTTAACTACTGAAAACTCTTGCAGGTCCTTGTACTGCGTGTGGATAGATAGACACAGACAGACAGATATGTAATGTTAAAAATAACACACACAAGCAAAAATGCATATGTGAACCTATCTCTGTCTCAGGTATATGCAAAGCAAAGATAAACGTTTAACAGACTGGTATACAAAGGCTTGAAATAGAACCAGTTCCTACAGAACGCATTGACTTTATAAAACGCTAGATTTATTTGCGTTTTAACTCATTCACCTTACTTTTTCTGCCGATAAATGAATCATCTATATAAACCAGTCTACAGGCTGCAATGAAGGGCCAATAAATCCAATGAGTAAACATCCTTCATTAGATCTGTCTGTCTGTCTGAGACAGATAGATAGATAGATAGATAGATCAGCGCTGCGGAATCTGTTGGCGCTTTATAAATACCAGTAATAAATAAAATAAAATTGATAGAATCGCACTGCTCTTTTTAATCCTCTGACGACACGGAAAAGTAATTAACCCTATCCAAACTATGCTAATTGGATAATATTTGAGAAGCTATGCCATGCTTGGTGCCCTTACAGTCACATAGAGCCCAGGCTTGATAGCCACACTCCATGTAAGGTAATGTTAACCCAGTCGATGCTGTCAATCACAAGCAAGCATTTTCATTCGACAGGTTAATTGCCGTACGGTATATGGAGCAGGTATCAGTCAGGGAGCACAGGGTGTGAGAGTCCTCAATAATGGACCATTTCATCAGGTAATGTGAGGAGTATGGGATCTCAGCCTCTAATCCTCTCTTAATAAAATGCTGGACTATTCTAGATCAAATCCCATTCAATGTCCCCAAGTAATATTAGACATTTCATATATTGTTCCAGTGAATGCTCAGCGATAGATAGAGAGAGAGAGAGAGATTAGATTAGATAGATAGATAGATAGATAGATAGATAGATTAGATAGAGAGATAAGTGGATAGCTATATTAGATTAGATTAGATAGATAGATTAGATAGATTGATATATTAGATTAGATTAGATAGATAGATAGATAGATAGATAGATAGATAGATAGATAGATAGAAAATATAGACAGTTAGATATATGCTGACTGTGTAAATGTTTCTGAGTGTGTGTATATGTATGTACATGTGAATATATGTGTTTGTATGTATGTATATGTATATATGTGTGCATGTATGTGTGCGGATGTGTTTATGCAAGTATGTGTATGTTATCTATGTGTGTATATATGTGTTTGGAGGTGTGAATGTGTGTGTATATATATATATGTATATTTGCCTGTAGAGGTGCAAATGTATGTATGTCTGTGTGTATAGGTATTTATCTATGTATATATATATGTATGTCTGTGTGTATAGGTATTTATGTATGTATATATATATATATATATATGTATGTGGAGGTGTTTATGTATGTCTGTCTGTCTGTCTGTGTGTATAGGTGTTTATGTATATATATATATATATATGTATATATATATATATATGTATATATATATATATATATATATATATATATGTATGTCTGTGTGTGGAGGTATTTATGTATGTATATATATATATGTATGTGGAGGTGTTTATGTATGTGTATATGTATGTCTGTCTATGTGTATAGGTGTTTATGTGTGTATATATATGTATGTGGAGGTGTTTATGTATGTGTATATGTATGTCTGTCTGTGTGTATAGGTGTTTATGTGTGTATATATATATATATATATATATATATGTATGTCTGTGTGTATAGGTGTTTATGTGTATATATATATATATATATATATATATATATGTATGTCTGTGTGTAGAGGTGTTTATGTATGTGTATATATATGTATGTCTGTGTGTAGAGGTGTCGTGCCGAGCTCCGGACATCCTCTGAGTGACGTTCGGTGTATTTTCCAGTTCGCACTCGCTGTGATTGACAGGGGTCTATTTAAATCTCCCATACAGCAGAACGTGCAGTCACATCAGGCTGCTCCAGGAGGCGGGAGCTCCAGCTCTGACACTGGCCCAGAGACAGAGAGTGACATCAGCCGGCTAGTGGCTGCAGGAGGGAGCCTGGGGACACTGGGATCAGGAAAGAGAGGGACTCACTCAGGGAGCTGAGCTGGTGCTGGCTGTCTGCTTTCAGAGTCAAGGACAGGGGGACAGGGACCTCACTGGCTGCAGGACTGTTAACTCTTTGAGTCCAAGACTAGATACCCCCAGTCAGATTGTGTGTCCTTGGCTGGTAGTGTGTGTCCCCTGGATGGGGTGGAAGAGGGGGAACCGGTAAGAGGTGCTGCTATTTTGGCTCCTTTATGGAAGAGTGCAGCCCTCTGTCCCCCAAAGCCAATGCTTTCAGTATCGCCTCTCTGATTTCAGCCCCAGAAGCAGTGGACACAGAGGGACCCAGCGCTGCCCTGGACAAGTTCTGCAGGCTCGACTCTCACCCCATGAGAATGCACTTCAGTGCAGTCACCAGGGACATGGAGGGTAAGTGTCCCTGTCACTAATTACAGTTTCCAACACCTTTATCACGTGGCTCAAAAAGTTTATTAAATAACTTATAAAGTGACATGAGTGCCTGTGTAACTCTCCAAGCAGTATTATTACCATGTGAGGCACCAGCTCATCCCCTCTGTGGTTTCCTTGCAAATCCCAGGCCCAAGAGTCCTTAGAATAAGCCCAGCTGTCCATGGTTACACCCCTTAAAGAGCCATTGTCCTCATGGCACCTTCCCCTGGATCCCAACCAAAATATTCAATGAAGTCTCATCAGCTCCTATTGGTGTAAAGCATGGAGAAATATGGGAGCACATTGCAATCACACTACTGCCCCCAGAGAAGAGATGTAGAGGACAGCTATCAGGGATACCTATGGGTCTAAGCCATGGAGAGGTATAGGTCAAACAGCATCCCCCTATTGGTGTAAGTCATGGAGATACAAAGGGCAGATAGAAGTGCTACCACCCACCCCCTCATTATTGGGGTAATCCATGTAGATGTAAAGTGCTAAGGCACCCCCCCCCCCTCCCACCCAGAGCCAGCAGTCGCCCCTTAATATAAACCATGGACAAGTGATATATAGTACAGTATGCAGACCCTCATTGCACATTATAGATCATATATATCATATTATGCCATACATACTAGTTATTACCCGACCAATTAACCTGAAAGTCTAAATAAATGTGGAAATGTAAAATAAAGTAGCAAGGAGTGAAAATAATATGTCTGAAAAAATGAATATTAGCTGTTAGACCATAAAATTAAAGAAATGTTATTGCTAGGGGTTGTTTTCGCTAATAGTGAAAAAATAACAGTTTTTATATCACGCTTTTAGAATCCAGTACTGATACAATAGCGAATACGTATTAACAAATGTCACAAGCATTGCAATGGGGGTTTTTTTTGTTTTGTTTTTTTACAAATATGTCATAACACGGATACATAAAATGTGTGCAATATTAAAGCGAAGGATTTTGTTTTCGGCGTACATACACTATGTTTAGTCTGAATAAAGAGTACGCGATTTACTGTGTTGAATATGTTGTAAAACATGTATTAACTCTTTATGTGATAGAATATTTTAGCTCGTCCATTCTGGTATTCGGAGTGCTCGGGGTAAAAAGTAAATAGTTCTATTTATAAAAACAAACTGCAATGGTGTTCTATTTAGAATGCACTGGGGGAAAGGTATTTAGAAATAAATTTATGAAAAAATGCACCAACGTTCTATTTAGAATGCACTGCAAATTATAATTTTATTTTAACAGAGAATATGGCCGAAACACGTTCATCCATTTATTTTGAAATTGTATATTAAATGAATAGTAAATATTTGTTAATGTTTAAAATAATGGTAAATTAAAAAAAAAACACAATCGCAATTTTAAACAGTTATAAAATAATTCAGAATGTAATTATTTTATAACAAAGAACGTATCTTACACAGAGTAAATATTTTGAAAGATGAGTTTTATTGAAATCTATTGAATGACAGTGGTAAGTGTTGTTTTTAGATATGCTGTATAGATATAGTACAGAGCAAAGAAACATACACCTGAACACGAACCATTCCACAACATACTCAATAAATACAAGCAGACCCAGATAGGAGCTCTTTTTTTTTTGGAAGTTAAAGAATTACTGAGCACTTTTTTTTACCTCTGGTTTTCTAAACCTACCTATAGACCATTCCTGTAGCCTTTTCAATTCCAATCAGTTTACCCCAGTCATTATCAGCAACAGGTCACCTTAGTAAAATATACATCTTCCAGAGCTTGGCAGGGGGCAGCAAGGCATACAGTGGCACCTCTCATGGTATAAGCTCTGCCTGACAATGAGTGGCATGTACTGGGTAGAAGACAAGGGGTGTGCCACCCCATTGGTGCCTGATGTTTGCATTTTAGCTAAATAAAAAAAAAATACTCTGTTTGTTTTGTTGTGGATTGAGATCCCCACCAGTGTGTGTGTGTCTATTGTTTAAACAATAGGAAGGGGAGGGCAGAGGCACAGAGAGAGGAGGGGGAATGCTTAGGTTCACGCCTTATATAACTGCAGAGAAAAGTGGGTGTCATGAGGAGGAAACTCTGTTAAGAAGAGGCACTTCTGTGTCAATCATCCCATTAGGGTCCCACAGGCGAGGAAAAGGCACCATACCTGCAGGTCCCACACTTTGCTTATCTAAATAGAAACAGGAACCGGTTTTTTTGGCAGGAGGGTGGCCCTGCCTGTCTGTGCAAGAAAGGAGATAAGACTCACACACACTGCACTCTAGCTTTGGGCTTTTCCTCACAACAAGGCTGCAGGATCTGTGTCTGGGACGGCACACTCTGGGCCATAAAACCCTGATTTGAGCACAGAGAGGAAAGGAACATTTCTGCCAAGGAGCGGTGCATGCTGCTGCAGAGGAATGCTGCCCCCATCCCAGCTCCCAGCTCAGGCCAGTGAATCAGGAGAGCAGGCGGCGACCTCCCGTCTGTAACTCACAGAAAGCTCAGCCAAGGGACAGCTCAAAGCAGGGGGGCTTCTCCTGGTACCCCCACATCCAGAGTTGCTATAGAGTGAAAGGGTGGGCTCCGAGGAGCTGCTCAAAGTGTTGGATATCACAGAGGAAGATTGCATTAAATCCAATTCTGTTTTCTCCTTTGTTTTTGTTCTTTTATTTTTTTTTATTTTTTGGAATGATTTCAGCCATTTCCAGCCCTTGGCTCACCCAGCTGTCCCATTTTTGCGATGTTGCAGCTTTCACGGCCAACAGTTTAAGTAGCCTGAATGCCTCGGGGGGCTACCACCTCTCCCCGTCCCCCGGGGATCCCTACAGCCAGCACGAACCCCACTACGAGCCCTGCTCGGCCGCCCAGCACTCCTACAGCTTCGGCCCCGGTTCCAGCCATGCCTGCCCGGAGCCCGAGAGCGGAGCCTCCTCCTCCAGCTGCTCCTCCACCCCGGGCAGCGGCAGCGCCAACCAGGGCAGCAGCGCCAACCAGGGCAGCAGCTCCAGGGCCCCGGTGAAGAAGAACCCCAAGGTGGCCAACATCAGCGTGCAGCTGGAGATGAAGGCTCTCTGGGACGAGTTCAACCAGCTGGGCACCGAGATGATCGTCACCAAGGCTGGGAGGTAGGAGCTCTGTCTGTCTGTCTGTCTGACATTGGGTGTAAAGCGCCATCTTTATGCAGATAAATAATCACTGATTTCATATCTCTACATATAATGCCCCAGCAACCTGCTGCTCCAACTGTACACATCAGACCCAGAGCTCCATTTATCACACAGAGCTCCCTTAATCACACTCACAGCTCCCTTGATCACTCACAGCTCCCTTGATCACTCACAGCTCCCCTGATTACACACACAGCTCCCCTGATTACACACACAGCTCCCCTGATCACAGACTATCCTGATGATACAAAGAAACTCCTGAATACACAGAGCTCCCCTAATCACACAAATCCCTCCTGATCACACCGAGGCCACCTTATCACATAGAAGCCCCCTGGTCATACATACAGTTTCCTGGTCATACACACAGTCCCCAGGTCATAGGTCATACATACAGTCCCCAGATCATACCTTATTCTCTTGTGATTACACACTGGCCTCAGTACACAGATCAACCCTTCTAAATACATTCTTGTCCTATATTATTTATTAGACCCTACTGACCACAGACTAGCCTCAAATAACCTAATAGTTGTGAACAAACACCATTCCCTTATCACGCACTGATTTGCCAGATCACACTTAGGTATTGCCAATCACACTCTGCCAGTCTCTAATTTCACGCCATTTCTATTCAACAAATGTTGCAAAAGCAAAAATTAACATTAATAAAAAAAGTCTGATTGTGTCTGACCCACAGACTGTCCTGGGCCAGGGTGGGGGGTGTACTAGGAAGAATCCAGCCCAAAGACATGCAGGGGTAGCAGCTGGGATTGGAAAACATGACCATTTTAAGAAAGATGATTTCATACTTGGAATATTTCTTGGTTTAATTGTATTAATTCACATACAGGATGGGAAGAGACATATGAATATAGCATAGTAAGCTGTTTTATGGTCTAAGATTCATCTTCATGTAGGACAAATTGCAACAGCTGCTTGTCTCCAAAATACTCCTATCAATTTATGTAAAAAAAAAAAGGAGTGAGTGGGGAATGGAACTATATAACTGTATACATGTAATTTAATTAGGCTGCATTAACACACATTTCAGTCTACGCTTTGTTTTCCAGTCACATTACAGCATAAACAGTTGTGACACATTATAGTATTAAGTGATAAAGGCTATTTTAGAAGCAGATACGAAGTCAAAACGTTGATCCAGAGATCTGCATTTCCTAATACCTTCCCCTTTATTTTATGTAAACCCTTTACAATACACAGTCAGCACAGATCCCAACCGAGACTCCAGGCACAAAAACCACTAGGATTATCGCCGAGACTTCTTCAATGCACAGGGCTGAGCTAGGTGTGTGACTGGTGAATGCTGGAGTATGATGGGGACAGGCTAATCTGCTGATAACACATTTACAAATCAACACAATGCACAGCCAGCCCTGCTCTGTGCAATCTGCTAAACTAACACTGCCACACTGACAACAATTCATAATCATAATGATAACACTAAAATAATAATAATATCAAGTGTGTGTTTAACTAGAAATTTAAAAAGAAAAAATGCTAAAAGACAGGTACACTGGTCATAATTTAAAATTGAACACACAACACACATTTTTTGCACATCAAAACCTATGCACAAACGTCTGCGTGTTATTAAATAGACTTGATGTGAACATATAATATTATCAGTAGAATATGGCAACACATACATAGGTAAACATAAATATACAACATATATGACGTGGGGAAAAAACACACTAGGTGCTATGCTACATACATATAAAACAAGTCACATATGTTTGTCTTGCATCTATCTATCTATCTATCTATCTATGTACGGTGTGTTTATAAATTGCTTTATTAGAGGCAAAACATTTAAATAATTGATTCATGCAATTTGAAAAAAAAAAACATTGGCTGTTAGAAAATGCGAGTTTGCAATGGAATAGAATTAGAAGAATGTGTATTTATTAAATATGTAAACATTGCATACATCAAAAAGGTTTTGAGTTAGAATTGTTTTTGGATGTGTGTTTGAGAGGCCTCCAGCCTTTTTAGTCTACAGCTACAATATTACTATAGCGCCTATAATGTGGAATTAATTTACAATTTACAGTTTTTACTGAATAATGAAAATAATAAAACTGAAAAGGCCTGTTTTATTGAACTGAAAGTTTAATAGAATCTGTTGTTTCCAAAGACTTTCTATAATATTTAAACATTATAGCCAATACATTGTCACTGATTTATTATACCTATAACATATAATCTTTAGAATTGAAATAATAGTATTTTTCTTACTATATTATTGTAGAAAGGATTCATTCAAATTTAGAGTAATTAATTAATTTAAGCAGTAATTAATTTAAATGTACAGTGTGCATAATGTATTCATTAAACTATTATTATATTTATTATATTAAATCACTTTCTCCATAACCACATATTGAAAGCCTTCACTGTATAAATCTTCCCAGCATATCTGTCTGTGCTCTTAATAGGACCTTGCTTCCTAACTGAATGTTCCAATTCGAATCACTAGGTTTTAGAATTGTAAATAAAGCACAATATGTGTCTTTTAGGCCCTCAGATGTCTGAGCCGTTTTGGAGAGTCAGTGACCCTATTCAAAAAGGGCATGCTCTCCCATCACGTGTAATAAATGGCTATCTGTATATATATTAATAAATAGTATAATGCATTTTCCCAGTTTATCCTAACTGCTGTTACAGACTTACTTTCAGCACCCGGCCCAGGGCAATGGTTCCTTGATAAAACCAATACCCCCACTCTAGGACTGACAAAGTCTTTTAGGAGCGGTTTTGTGCCTGCTCTATGTATTTGTGTGATCTATTTGCTCCCATTCCCCCAGTTAAATCCCAGAGTCAATATTATTTCAAGTTACTGAATCCAATTACTTCACATCAGGTGATTGAACAGGATGAGCCTTTTACTCCACGGGGGGCAATGAATGATAGAGACAAATAATTGTATAAAGAAAATCTACAAAGTGTGTGTGTGTGTATACATGATAAATGTATGCACTCTGTATTAGTGTATTGTACTAGGTACTAGTCCCTGTATTATATATTTCTATGATAATATAGTATACGTCTGTTGGATGGCAGCGATTAACCCTTTGATAGGCATGTGTATGGCTGTAAAACATAAATCACAATGCACAAACACATATGCACAATCTGTGTTAGTCAGTTCCACATCATTAAGTGTCTGTCCTGTGGCCTCTGCTTTGTTAATGGAAATGTATATTAGAACAGAATGTATAAGGGAGTTTATTCACTAACCAGCCAAGCACTGTAGGTTTAAAATGAATTTAATGTTTACACCAGGATAAGGGGGGGAGTTGTTTTGTTTATCTTTCAAATTTGACTGTTTTAGACTATTTTTGGCAAGTTATATGTCAACTCATCGCAACTTATTTAGTTGTGAATAAACCCCAAAAGTTTGATGAACTGAAACATTTAAAAGGCAGCAGAAAATAAAAGTCATATTATTGGCGACAGTAAGTGCAGGTAGTGGTTATTGATGATTTACAGCGAATTAAAGGAACAGTAAATGGAAAAGTATTTGAAAAATAAAAAATATCGAATTAAAATTATATTTTTGAAATTACATTTTTACAATTCGTTCTGTTAAATATGTCGATTGTTAAAAATACATTTAAATATATCCAGTCTAAATTTGCAATAAAAGCAATATTTATCAGTATTCCATCACTTTGCTGTCAGCATTCTACTCTTTTCGGTTAATTTGAGATTCGCAGTGTTTTAATTGAATTGTTTTCTGACAATGTACCGCAAAGCTTAATAAAAATTTTTTTTTAAAAAAAATCTGTATTTATAAATTAAATAGTTCTCTTTTAATCTTTGTGATTTTTTAAATAGAAAACAAAAATGAAACTACTGTCGACCATATAAAACGGTAAACCGTAGCAAAATATCAGTAATAAGTATTATTATTATATTTTATTGACAAATGGTCACTATATATTTGTTTGAGTTTTCTAAAACTTTTTTAAATTTAAAAATACCAATAGTAAAAATACCTAATTATTCCCTGAGTCCCTTATGTTTATTTTCTGTAAAATATTTTACAGTCCATTATGCATATTTAATAATAATATATCCATGCTATATATTAATTTGTTTTAAATCTAAATAAATAGGTCAACTAATATCTAATATCAGAGACTGTTTAAATGCATCACACTGTGCCCTTTATGTATTGGGTTTATATAGCAGGTATCAGGCCAGATCATTTTCTGTTGAATCCTTTTTTTTCCATTGTGGAGAAATTAAACAGTGTATCATATGAAAAAAAGCCATTTAATTATTCACACAAGAACTGGGTCAATATCGGGGCCATCTCCATTTAAAGTCTGCTTAACCCTTTTTTTTCAGTAAATCCAGAGGGACTGGAAAATAGTTCAGCCTGAGTGGACCCAAGACATTGTTTGTGGACAGTGTTAAAGGAATTTAAGAAATTACATCTTGTTACTTTTAGACCCCACTGAAACTTGTTTAAGGAGTAAATTAGTTAAAAGCACTTTTCAGAAATTGAACTCAGCAGGAAAATGAGTGCCCTGCGCTCTGTTTGAGCTGTCCTTCTCTGTATTGTTCCAATGACAATACAAGCACCTCTCTGCTACAATCCATAACACCCACACCTCACTCATAATTTAACCTGGATAAAGAGAATCTGCCAAGCTAAAGTGGTTGCACATTCTTGCTGGGGTTGCTCTCTGTTAATTATCTGGTCAGCATTTCAGGAGGACAATAGTCTGACCCCTTGGACCATGCCATAGAAATACACACAAACACTGGAGAGATGTTTCCTTTTATGCTAGTGTTAGCTAACCTTGACACTTCATTTGTTTAAGGACTACATTTCCCATGATGCCCAGCAATACCGAATAAAACGTGCCACAATACAAAACACACAATTAAAGGAAGTATTTGGTTGAAAATCTACAGGGATCTACTTTTTGTTGTTCATTTGTTCCACAGGAAAAAAATAACAATAAAGCATTTTATAAATAACATGGAAGCTACTAATATAACTAAGAACAGAAAAGATCAAAGACTGAAAATAAACTCACTCCAGGATTTTCGAGGAAACAAACACAATACAAAAAAATAATAATTAAAAAAAAAAAAATGTATGAAATGAATCGGTATTTAGATCAGAATATGAAATGTAGGACGTGTACAGCGCCGTAGAACGTGTTGGCGATGTATAAACTAAACAATCCTCTAATAATAGCGAAATATCTATTTATTGCTTAGACAATAACATTTCTGTTAAGGAAAACAAAACAAAAGCTCATTGGAGTTTATAAAAAATATAATAAAACAAATAAAATAAAACCAACAACACAAACAAAATAGGAATCAGTTCATAGAAAGCCCGACTGCAACAACATTCGGTCTAAATCCACCGAGCTGTGGGAGTAACCGAGTTGTATATTTACAGTGTATACAGCAGCTCTTTCCGCCTTAGTTTTAGAATTCGCTTTACAGTTTACAGCAGTCAGTGAATAGACCCGGTTTATTTGTATTAACCAGTCGAAATGTTTCCTCATACCTTGTAACATCAATATCACAATAATCGTGCAGTTTAAAAAAACCAAAAAAAACCTCTTCATTTACAGTATTTAAACTAGAAACATTTCAGACAACATGAATACAACATAATTTAAATATTAAAAAATAAATGAAAAAATATATAATATGAGAGAGAGAGAGAGAGAGAGAGAGAGAGAGAGAGGAGATTAAATTACATTGTATGTATGTAATGTGTTAATTGCTCTTAGTGATACCCAATAACTGTTCTAGGTAATGTCTCTTGTCCTCAATGTTCTCATCAGTTTTTGTGTCTCTTCTACCAGGCGCATGTTTCCCACCTTCCAGGTTAAGATATTTGGGATGGACCCCATGGCTGATTATATGTTATTAATGGATTTTGTACCAGTGGACGATAAACGCTATCGGTAAGTAAAATAAACCCTGGGAACTGAAATAAAGGCCACTTCACACTGACTACATATCCAATCCTTCAGCATCCCTTATAACCGAGAATCTGTCTAGTGGGGCTAGCAGGGTAACCCAATACATCACTGCATGTGTATCCATCAAGCAGGGAGTAGAATAAATAGTCCAGTGTAGGAGACCTAAAGCTGGACTTGTTACTGAGGCTCTAGAACTGGGCTAGTGTTAAACACATATACCAAGTGTAGATTAATCACTTTCATTTAATCCTATCTTTTCTTTCCTTGTATATGTCTGTAATTAGATAATCATGTTTCCTTGCAGAGTTTTTTTTTTCTAAACACTTCAGCTCTGCTCCATAAAAATGATTAAAATGCATGTTCCTGGGGATGGAAGGAATGTGGATTCTTTAGTGTATAATATATCTTACAATCTGCCATACCAATATTATTCATTCCTCTCCTTTTTACCCCAAAAAATGTGGGTATAGAAATATATAATATATGAGTGTGAGTGTGTTGATACACACACACACACACACACACACTTATATAATAATATATCAATATATATAAATATGTGTGTATATATATTTGTTCTATACAATACATAACATCTGTCTATATATATATATATATATATATGTACATAGTTATCTATGCGGCTTTATAGGAATAATTTTTAGATATGCACCACATTAAAAAAAAATCTACAATCTGTTTAATGACTATGAAATACAAGTTAGCAATTGATTAGATAAATATGCAGATTTATGATGTTGTTTATGTATTTGTAGTTACATACTTTTATTATAAAATGAATCGGTGTCGTTCAAATGAGTTACCTCTGTTTTTTATTTATTTTTTGAAACCTTAATTTATTTAGTTCAATAGTTGTGTTTATAAGTAAACAGACTAATGTTAATTTGTTCCTTGCTGTAAAAAAGAAGTATTATAGTGTTCTAATGTTATACAAAATGTGATAAAATAAAGTCTCCCGTTTATGAAGCAGGCTTTAGCACAGGTTTAGGACAAAACATTGGAGTTGTAAACATTTCTTCAATTTGGCTGAGTTAGGAATTCTCCCCTTACTCGGCTATGTAGTTTTAATTGGATATATCACTTGTTAAATCAAACCAATCAGTGTTTAATGAATAGATCCCAACACATTTTGCATAAATAATAAAAATAATAATAATAATAATAATAATAAAAATAATAATATTTTCCCTGTACCTCTGTGTGATTAAGTCACTGGGGTGATTTGACAACCAGCGCTGCAGAATCTGTTAGCTCTATATAAATAATTGTAATTATTGAATTACAAAATTATCAAGTTGGGAGAAATATTGAATTCAGTGATCTGAGGCATTCCCCAGGTTTTTCTGTTTGAATATCAGTTTTCAAGTGGTTCTGAACAGTTCACTATTAGCTTTTTATTGAATTGACCCTATGTATATGCCTATTCTAGATAAGTGAGTATTCCTGGTGTATGTAAATATTTAAAATGCATGATTGTAAAGGGTAAAGAATATTAACCGGCTGTTTATTCAGATGAGTTGATGCAAAATGAAAAGGGAGTTTATTAGTAAATGTACGTTACAATACATAAAACATATTGACAGAAAGATTATATGTTAATTGGGTCAAAATAAAGCTTTATGTAACCCCTAAAGTGCTGTTGAGGCTTTTGAGAGAGAGGTCAAACCACAGGAACTTCCTAGATAGATAGAAGAAAAAAAGTCTGAAAATGGAACATCTTTATTGAATTCTGTATAACATGTGGATTCAATGAAACACTTCTTGTTATTAAATGTTCCATTCGGCCCCAGACAAGACTTATGGCAGAGGGCACCAGCTCCTGTGTACAGCCTGCTGATTGGAATTAATTCGATCTATATAGACACACTGACACAAGTTAAAAACATCTAGTTCAAGCCAATTGATAATAGTCCTGAGAACCTTTGCACTGCAAGAATGACAGTAACTGGGGATTTTAATACATACCAAAATAAAATAAGCATTGCTATTTCATTTTAATTATTTAATTACGAAAATTGGGTGAGGTGACTCCAAAATCATGGCGTCTCCAAACTGCTTAGAACGATAGGGTCTCTGTACATGCTTCATGTTATATTACATTTATATTATTACTATTATTTATGGGGATCGACACTATGGATTTCTTAAATAATATATTCAATTATTTATGTATTTATTATTATTATTAATATTGTTATTATTAATATTATTATTGACCCTAATGCATGTTGTTTTTTTTCTGGAATAAATATATGAAACCATTAACTTGTGCAACTTGTCTTGATAAATACATTATAATTATTATCCCTGATTGTGTTTTGGAATTAGCGTATATAAGCAGTACGTTGTGCTAGCAGTCAGTATAAGCAGTTATGCCACACAGTATAAACCAATAGATCTCCCTTTCTCTCCTTGTAGTTATGCCTTCCACAGTTCCTCGTGGTTGGTGGCAGGCAAGGCTGACCCTGCCACGCCGGGGAGGGTCCATTACCACCCAGACTCCCCTGCTAAGGGGGGGCAGTGGATGAAGCAAATTGTGTCCTTTGACAAACTGAAACTGACCAACAACCTGCTGGACGACAATGGACATGTGAGTATTAAATGGGTCACCAAGCCAGCCTCTGCACCCCAATAGATAGAGCAAACTGATTATAGATTTGAACAAGGGGGTGAGGGATGAATCTGCATATTAACCTAGGCTATATAAAGCGTATACATTTTGCCTTAACCATTAGAAAAAAAACAAAAAACATTTTTTATGTTTTAGATGCATGTATAAAAATTATAAATGCTAAGATGCATTGAAGAATTTCTGCCTGGCATTATTACAATATGACACAATAATCTTGCATTATTTTCTTCTTTAAGGAATAATCAAAGCATTAAATATTAGCGTTTTACCCTTAATCAGAAATCTGTTAGATCTTCGGATGTTTGATATTACTGAGAGAATAGTTTTATATGTAAATACAACAGTAATTCCTCTCATAGAATATAGTCTTATGTAAACAGCATGCAGATAACCTTTGACCTTGTCTAACTGAATAGGCTGCAGCGAGCAGAAAGGGAAGTATTTAGGCCACTGAAAATCTAGTTTTGTTTTTTCTAGATCATACTAAATTCCATGCATAGATACCAGCCACGTTTCCATGTGGTGTATGTGGATCCCAGAAAGGACAGCGAAAAATATGCAGAAGAAAATTTTAAAACATTTGTATTTGAAGAGACTCGCTTCACTGCAGTAACTGCATATCAGAATCACAGAGTAAGTATTTCTGGAGTGTATTACTGAGACAAAATAATTCCGATACATCATTTATCTTACCTTTCTCAATGATGGATGATGGTCTGGAAAGGAAAAAGAAAAAAAAATCACTTTAATTCAGAGCAGCCATCAGAGCTGGGAGTATAGGAGTTTGTGTAGCCATGAGAAAGAAAATTTGGTTTACAAATAAATAGGCTTTTCCTTTTCACTGTTCGGATTTTCCTGTGATCAATAGACATGTCAGATTCGTTTAAGAAAGCTAATTCATTAAGAATGCAGAGCAAGTATAAAAATCTAAATTCTGCACAGATAGCCCAGGATAATGTTACAAAACAAACACAGTCTTTATTTAACCCATTAAAAAGACAAAGCAAGAAATGCGTTTAACACATTCAGTTCTGGGGAACAGAAAATTAAAGTCAATCTTCTTGTATTGTTTTGAACGCTAGTTAAATAACTATTTGGGAAAACAAATAAAGAAAACAGTTAACCTAGTCAGTAGTAGTTTTGTTCGTGATCAGTCTATTTTAATTTTTTTATTCAATTTTTACAAAAAGGTACATTTTATTTTATTTTAAAGGTTCATTTCCACGTATTCACATAGTAAAATAATTATTGTCAAATATGTCAGTTGGTAGTAATAAAAAATAAATTAATAATACTCACTAAGGCAGAAATGATCTATTAATCCTACATTATGTGAAATGTTAAGAATTGCTATCAGAACTTAACCCTTTAAGCTGAATTGAGGGTGTGTGCCTGATGGAACTACCTAGTTCCAAAGTGTCCCATTGGCTGTGTAACCAGAGAGGTCTAGTTCTCAATGTAAAGGTGTTCTGATTGGCCATTCTGAACATTCCAGTATTCCTGCATATATATCACAAGCAATTAGCACAATAAATCTTTATGCTGTAATTAAAATAGAAGGGTGTATCAAGCTTACACCCCTCACTGGTTATGTGAGCCCAGCTATAGCATCCATATGTAAATGGATGCTGCCATTACTTGTTAAAAGCTGGTGATTTATATCCATGTTTCCTAGTCAAGCATATAGGTGAATAAACCAGAGATAAATTTATCTCAGATAATAAAATCTAGCCCTAGGTTTAGACATGTCAGCACATCAGATAGTAGACATTGTTGACTTCTGTCCATCTGCTAGCTAGATCATTTGCCTTGCTAGTCCAGGAAGCTGATAGCAGAGAAAGGGTTTGCTAGTGATGGACAACAGAAGCTCAACATTTGCAATTTCAAGTTAGCTTTAAAAAAAGTGAACCCCAGAGGGATTCCATTCCCTATGCAAACCCAACACTCACTCTACTGCTTCCCCACTGCGAAATGTCAATCAAACAGTGTTTGTACAAATCTGCTTTTCTGTTTACCTAGATGTGCCAAGCCTGATGCAGGATCTCCTGAGAAAGGAAATGCCCATCACTGGCCTATTCCCAACAGGGCATACCTTTAAACAAAACATTTGGCTAAAACAACCGTCTTTACCTAGGGAGGACAGAATCTCCTAACCGGGCACATTGCTTTGCAATATAATGCATGTATTATATTGGGAATGCTGTTTTAGATCGATGAGATGAATTATAACATGTTAGTGATCTATTAATTAGGAATGTGATTTTGGCTTGTATTGAGGCTCATTCACTGAACATCGAATTGTAATAAATTAAAAACGAAATGAAAAATGTAATCCATAACAACGTTTGCAGCTTGGCTGTTTTGTCATATATCTGAAAATAATTCAGTTGCCAATTCACTACACTTCATAGTTTAGTGAAATGACACCTTTTAAACAGTGACAACTGTGACATGTCTTTCCATGTGCTACCGATGAAAGTGACACACGGAATGCTACCGAGAAAAAAGCAAATTTATCGCAATTTTCTGTTTAGTAAATCTCCCCTACTTGTGGAAAGATATCATCAGAATAATTGGAATCACTTAAGACCTTGATGAAAAAAAAAGAAGAAAATAAAAAACCCAGAAAAAACAAACCCACACACATAAAACCAAGAACAAATAAAAACAAGAAACGAACTACTATGTTCATTCATCCACAGTGACAGCTGTTTCATTCACAGCAGCACACATTAATTGGAATATAATGTAACAGATAGAAGGAGGCCAGGAGGGCCAGGCAGGGCTAGTCAGGCTGTACAGAGAATCTAAGCCCCGTGTGTGACCTGGGGAGGTATCTAGGTGACTTTTAGCAGTAAAACTGGTTTCTTTCCTGAGACAGGAGATCCCATCACACGTTGTGTACACAGTCCATGATGCAGGCAGTATGTGCAACCTTAGCACAGAGATTCCTGCACAGGGCTGGCTGGCTGGCTGGCAGGGCCCTGCTGACGGTTACAGACAGCTGCTTTCACTCTCCCCCTCTCCCTGCTTCTTTGCACTCTCTCTTGCTATCTCCCCTCTCGCTGCCTGCCCCTTCTTTCCCTGTTTCTTCCTCATATATCTGACATTCTATTCCCCCCTCTCTCTCTCACACCTTCTCTCCCTACCCCACACCTTTCCTCCCCGCTACTCTCCCTGCCTATCTCATCCTATCTCTCGCAGTCCGTGCATCTCTCCCTCTCTCCTAGCCGCACGACGTGCCTCCCCACTCCCTGCCTATTTACCCCTCTCTCTCCATTTCCTTGCCTCTCTCTCCCTGCCTCTCTCCCCACTCCCTGCCTCTTTACCCCTCTCTCTCCATTTCCTTGCCTCTCTCTCCCTGCCTCTCTCCCCACTCCCTGCCTCTTTACCCCTCTCTCTCCATTTCCTTGCCTCTCTCTCCCTGCCTCTCTCCCCACTCCCTGCCTCTTTATACCTCTCTCCCCCTTTACCAGCCTATCTCCTCTCTCCCTGCCTCTCAATCTCTCCCCACTCTCTCTACCTTTCCCTGCCTCTCTCTCCACTCCCTGCCTCTCTACACCTATCTCCCCTCTCCATGTCTCTCTCCCCACTCCCTGCATTTCTACACCTATCTCTCCCTTTACCAGCTCATCTCCTCTCTCCTGGCCTCTCACTCTCTCCCCCTTTCCCTGCCTCTCTACACCTATCTCCCCTCTCCCTGCCTCTCCCTTTCTCCCCACTCCATGTCTCTCTCCCCCTTTCTCTGACTCTCTCCCCACTCCCTGCCTTTCTACACCTATCTCCCCCTTTACCAGTTTATCTCCCCTCTCCCTGCCCCTCACTCTCTCCCCACTCCCTGCCTCTTTCCCCTCTCCCTGCCTCTCTACACGTATCCACGCACTCCCTGCCTCTCTCCCCTCTCCCTGCATTATATCACTTTGACAGTCTGAAACTGTCACTGAAAAGAGCTTAAAGTTTGTTTTTCAACCCATTCCGGAAATTCACAATCACACACTTTATCCCAGGATTTAGTTCAGTATAGAACATTTCACTGGCTTGTCCCCAGATGAGTGAAATGAATCCACACGTACGATGTATTCCGAGATTTATATTAGCTGCAATGCTGGAGACCCATCCATGTAATATGGAATATTGTTACAAAGTGTCTATTCCAAAGCCAGCCCTTCTCCTCAGTCCCAGCATCCCCCCTGTAACTGGTATTAGATGGCCGCCTGCATTCTGCCCATCTAGAGAAGAACCATATGTTGTCAGCAGCCTGCTGGACTAATGCTGTTAGTATAGCTTTACTTGGACCAGCAGGACCGAGGGAATAACTTGGATTAGCAACCATTGAACCACTCCCATCACGTTAGGACAGTGTCATGAGAAAGGAAGGATACTGCAGTTGGACTTTGGGGTGTTAGTGATTACCAATTGATGGGAGTTTTTGTACATAGAGTAAACTGTTGTCAATGTAATAATTGTGGGGCACTATACTAAGCAACAAAAAGGGAAAGGGTTTCATTCCATCACTAGCTCAGCTGCTATACTACCTCTTTGCAGGTAATATTTATATTGACTCCTTTTTCTTATCATTGCAAATGTTTTTTTTTTTTTTTTAGAATGGGTTGTATGCTACTCTCCATTAGCTGAGGGCTATTTGCAAACTTGTCAAACTTTAACAAAATCTCTACATAACTGGTGTGCAAGTTATACTACAAACACAGCATTTACATACCTCCCAAGAGTCCCTATTTAAGATGGACAGTCCCTATTTTTGCTCAAATCCCTTTGTCCCTCTTTTCTACCCAAATGTCCCTCTTTCCTTACAGCTCTGCTTTGTTGGTGTGTCTAATAGGCTTGTGCGTGGCAAGAAAATTTGGTTTCTCCAAACCATTATTATTTTTTTTTTTTTTAAGAAAACATATTTAGACAAACCTAAAAGGACGGGAAAATTTGAAAATGTATATATTTTGACATACACTAATAGGAGTATTTTTGGTTCAAAGATCAAGTGAGAAAAAATAACCAGAGAACATTACTCCACTGGAGAGAAACATATAATACTGTCCTCAATAAAAACATGGAAGTTCTTGCTTAATTAGACGGATAGTTTGAGAAAAGTCTATAATTTAGAGAGCCAGATAAATAAAACTACAACATAAAGGAGAGGTGGCGCTGTTGCCCTTAGTATATATTGCTCTTTGTATGAACATGTACATTAATTTCTTAGACTGAATATATAGAAATGGATAGGGGGCCATTAAATGACCCACACTCCCTGTAGGCTATTAGATAACCCTGCCGTTTGTTTAATTTAAAGGTAATATCTTTTTCCATCCCCCCATCATTAACAGGCTGCTTGGGCAGTGTTATAAGGTCAGCATTCACATTGTATTTTTAAAACCAGCACAGGCTGGCATGCTGGGTATGCTAACGCTGGTTTTGTTTGTCTCATACAGATTACACAACTTAAAATCGCTAGCAACCCGTTTGCCAAAGGATTTCGAGACTGCGACCCTGAAGACTGGTGAGTACAGTAAAGTAATTGCAATCAATCCTGTATTAACAGGACTGGCAGGATAAAGGGCATTCTTGGCTATCACGCCCCACTCTCTGGCACAATGCAATCCTTAACACTGCTTTAGTGATGGAACATCTTGTATCATTTCCTAAACTAATAAAATCAGGATGTGACTGAAATCAAGGCATCAGTTTCATTATAACCTATCTACCTATGTGAAAATATTAGAGTTTATTCACTAATAAGTAAATAGTAGTGAATTAAAACTTGCAGATTTATTTACTAAAATGTGAATCATGGAAGAATTTGAAGTGAATTCAAAGATAATTTAGAAATTTAAGCCAAATTGTCAAATTGTTAGTTTAGCTGTATTTTCAGAAATTTTAGTGCAACATTTAAAGTACACTTTAACGAATAACCCTTGAAATGGCAAATTCTGTTACAAAACAGATGGATTTTAAAAGTTTGCCAGTTTAGCTTTAGTTACAAATTGGATAATTTAGCTGGAAATTTGCGATTTGGTTTTTATTAACGGTTTGGTGAAAAAAACTCTCATATATATCATTATCATTATTTATGTAGCAGCAACATATTTTGTTAAACTCCCATTGGAATGGGTGGTTGATACCAGTGTTTGGTAGTATATAGATGTGATTCTTCTAATAGTTAACATGATTGTGGCTGATGATTGGCAGATATTTATTGTTTAATGACAGTGATGTGGCTTACTACTTATATTTTACATTAGTTGAAAACATTCATGTACAAAGAAGAACCAATTTGTAGTGTGTATTATTAGCTCACTTTCTGGAAGGGCTTACCCAGCCACTGACAGCAAAGGGATTAGAGAAACGCAGATTATATTTGCATTACTTCCATCATATAAGACATTGCATCTAGTTCTTTACAAATAGCCTCTTCCATAGCTCGACCTTGGAGTCTGTGTGTACAAGTATCTGCATGCCTGTGTCCTTGTTAAAGGCTGTGTGTACAGGAGATTGAGTTTAAATATACAGTGCATTGATACAGGTGAAATAAAATGCCCATATTGTAAACAATCTTTAATAGCTATGTTTCTGAAAGCTTAATGAGTGTACATTATATATTGTTATGCAACCATCTAGGTATAGAGTGTAGAGTGTAAATAAAAAATACATATAAAGGCCTTGTAAGCAGGGCGTATACAGATCAGATGAGAGCAGAGAAGATATGGCAAATGTGTTTGCAGTTTCCTAAACTACTTCCATTTGGGTTCAATTTTCTTAGTCTATTTCAGGGGTAGGCAACCTGTAGCATTCCAGATGTTGTGGACTACATATCCCCTGATGCTTTGCCAGCATTATGACTGTAAGAGCATTCTGGGAGATGTAGTCCACAACATCTGGAGTGTGAAAGCTTGCCTATCCCTGGTCTGTGTCATTGGCAGTCTAACCCTTTCAGTACCAGAAGAAAAGAGTACTCAATGGCCCAGGTGTCTTCAGTAACCCCTTTGGCATGTAATCCGAAATGTCTAGATCCTGTTCTGTTGGTGTATGTTGAGGACTAAATTGGGAATGGGAGCCACTGCTCTAGAGCATGTTTGTGAACATGATGGATAGAGTTATCCCAGCAAAGCACTGAAAGGCTACAGTGAATTTTTCTTTTTAAAGAAAAGATTAACTCAAATAGAATAATAAAACGTTGTAAGATTTAAGAATTCCAATTTAACAGTAAAACCCCATAAGATCTTATATTGTTTGTGTCTGACAACAGCTATAAATGTATTGTATATATTGCAGACTGTCACTTCCCAAGAAATAACTAATATAAAACCATTTTTAAATCAGGCAGAAACTTCATTTCCATTGTATTCCTCTAACAAAAACATATAAATCCATTAAGGGAGCTCATTGTAATATATTTACCATTTAAGCTCTGACATGACTACAGTATATCCTTGATTTTGCAGGCCCAGAAATCACAGACCTGGATCCCTCCCTCTTATGAGTGCTTTTGCAAGGTCTAGAAATCCAGTTTCATCTCCTCCACAGAATGGAACTGAAAAAGGTCAGTGAAATACCTAGCTTGTCCTACTAAATCCTATATCCAGCCCTCCCTGGAATTGTATGGAAACATAAACTGCGCAGTCATATGCTGGTAAATCGTTATGGTTGTAAATGTCATCGACCCTTATAGAACATTGTATACATTGTATTAATGTGTAAACCTGGCTATATAGATATAGGGGCAGCTCTGAAAAAACATATATTGAGGATTTTATTCATTAAACAGATAATTATGGTTAGCTGGGGGGGAAAAAAAAGTACTAAACTACATATAGTAATTTTTCTTTAATATAGCAGAAATGTTTTTCAATTCACCAAAATTGCAGGTTGCTATTTTGGGCAAACAAAAATGTTGTAAATTATTTTTTTTATCTGACTTTGAACAAAAATGTTATTAAAATATGTTAAAAGGTATGAACAATATAGGAACAGTTATGCGCAAAAGGTGCAATCCTTTCTTTTCCAGTCTAACACATTGCACACAGTCCACTATAATTAATATATGGCTTCTATGTGTACCCAAATCATAGTGTAGTGGTTACTACTTCTAAAACCTGTAGAGCATTATAATTCCTGCTACCCTCCCTGGTGTAGCGTGAGCTAAACCAGTTATGCTTTATGATAACAATCATTAGAATTACACAAATGACTGAAATCTTCAGAAAAGTAGGAAAACCATGGTGGTCATCAACCAGCTGTATTTATATTGTTCAGCTGTCATACCTAAGTCTAACTGCTTCGAGGAAGACCACAATAAATGAAAATGGGTGATTTACTTTAAGCATAATACAAAAATAAAACTACACACATTGGGATAAGTAAGGTGCTGCAGGCTAAAAACAAATGGGCAAAAAAAAAAAACAAGTCTCATTGGTATGGCTACTTCCTCCTCACTACCTAGTTGCCTTAACATCGCTAGAAGAGAACAAGATTGTGTCAATTATTTTCACATCATTTTATAGTGTAATCAATTTGAATATGTTAATCGATGTGGCTTTTAATAATGATTTCAAACACATATTTAGATGACGTATTAGTAGCAACTTCAGTTTTACTTATCAACTATTTTTAATGATGCCCAATTACCCTGCATTAAATAAATGTAAAAAACTTTGAAGAAAAAAATTAAAAAGTTCCTACCTCTAAAAATAAAGTCCAATTATCTTATCTTTGGCTCCATTATTGGTTCTTTCCTGATAGAAAAAACATTTCTCAGCCCGAGTTCATGTCAGCCCCCTGTAGAGGGATTGAAAATTGCACCCATCCATGCTTTAACACAATACTGGAGCCTATGAGGCTCAGTAAGTACAGGGAAAAAACAAGGCAAGAGATAGGGAGAGACTGGGCACACTGCTGTGTATATATACAGCCTGCCTTGTTTAATACAAATAGCTGCCTTTGGCCAGGTAACTTTGTTTACTGCATGTGGGCATTGTACCCACATAAAGTTAAAATGTTTATATTTTCCTGGAATTTTGTGAATCTGCATTTTTAAAAATACCAGCACGCTCTTTACAAAGATATTTTAATTCCCCACCGACCGAATGTTTTTAAATGTGTGTTTTACCGTCTTCACTTGGTTTTTAGAAACAAAATGCTAGACAAGTTATAAATTCTAATGCTGTTTGTTCTCCCAGCTGCTCTAATTTTCTAAGAGTTTGAGTTAAAATTTAAATTAAAAATTTAAATTTTGTAAATAAAAAAGGAATTATTTCTTCAGAATTCCTTGAACAGCGATATAGTTACAACATCACTGTTTTGTTTTAACTCTTCCTTTGTATGCCATGAATTAAAATATTATGCTTAAAATGAACTCAGTAGAGAAGGGGTTACGTGCATAGAAGCACAATCCTACCTCAATATGTGACATTTTTATGCTGAGAAAGATATTATGCTACACAGGGACAACAACCCTGGATTTGGAATGTAATTTAACCATTAAACTTTATTTAGCACAGGGATTACTCAACAGTTTAATAACGAAGTCACTCTCATAAGTCTGTGTATACACTAGTCTAGTGCATGGGTAGGCAACCTTCGGCACCCCAGATGTTGTGGACTACATCCCCCATAATGCTCTTACACCCATAATGCTGGCAAAGCATCATGAGAGGTGTAGTCCAAAACATCTGGGGTGCCGATGGTTGCCTATGCCTGCTGATTCTTGCTTGCTTCTCTCATATTAGTAATTTTGCTTAAATTAGAAATGCCAGAAATTACTTAATTTATGATTCTTCCTATTATCCCTCAGAAATAATCACATTTTCCAATTAAACAGTTTTACTCCATTCTAATAACGCCATCATTGAGATGAGTTATATTTTTTTTTATTAGATACCTATAATTATTGTCATACAGAGAACTTGGGCTGAGCCTTTTTATGGGATAAATGCAGCCAAAACAGTGAACGTAGAAAGCAATAAATATCATGACTGCAATTAATTCCTCCAATTTCCCCCGCAGGCGTTATTACAGTTACCCAATAAACTCCTTAGACAAGGATCCTCACAAGCAAATTCACTGCTATTTTTTTTTTTTTTTTTTTGCAGTTTTAGTAAATTTTTACCCCACACACACACACACACTAAGGGGAGTTTTTCTTGCTGCTAAACCAGGCAATTTCAGAAATGTCACACACATTTACATGTATTTATTTTCCATTATGCAGAGTCAATAGTTGTAGAGACACACAGGGGCCCATCCTCTATAGCACACTTTGGGACTGGCCAAATAAACGCAGTCTGTGTTTGTTTAGTGTTACACAACTTTAAGAAATTTCAAGCGTGTATCTACTTGTCAGTCATTTCATTCAGATTTCATCCCTATAAGAATGTCTTGTCAGAATCGCAGAGGTTTAAGCTAAGCACAATGATATAGATTGGACGCTTTGCAGACGGTGATATTTTTTTTGTTATACCTTCCCTCCCTCCTCCCCTCTGCTCTGGAGTAATGAGAAATAGTCAGTTTAGTTTTTAGATAGATTTTCTTGTATTGTTGCAGCTTCTGTGTTAGTGCCACTGGAAAGCCCTTGTTTATTTTACTAACATGGTAGAAGGACTTCTGACCCAGAGAACACAAAAAAGCAATATAAACACTTTTAGATCCCTTTTCCCCTCATACGCACTTAACATTATGGCCTCTATATGTAGTAACGTTTTTTGTTGTATTTCTTCTTTCAAAATATTTCTTAGCTCACTACACAACCACCCACTCCGACCCTTTCATTTTAGGCAATAACTGTTTAAACATTTGCATTAACAAAACCACCATAATGTTTTTATATCTCCCACCAAAAACTCACATACTTACTCACACCAGGACGATTTATTCTATTTTATAATTTAATTCTTGGTGCCTTTTTTGTTCTCCATAATAATCACTTAACTATTTGCTAATATTTATTCCTATAATGCTGTGTTATTACACAAAAAGGTTTAATCACTAAACTTGGAAATGCATGGAACTGAAATTCAAATGACCAAATTTAGGCTAAACCAGCTGATCTCTAAACAATTCTTCAACTGCTATAGTCATTGCTTACCTATTTCAGCTTCAATTTGGGATTTTGTTTCAATTCACTACAATTAGAATTTGGTGACTAACCCTGAAGTCATGTGATTGAACAAATGTGACATGAACAAATGTCACATTTGTTCAATTTCCAATAAAAATTCTAATATAAAAAAGTGACTGAAAATGTTTAGAGAGCAATGATGTCATAGTGGAAGTTACTGGTGTCATATTTGCTCAGTAAACAGGGGAACAAAAACAATGGAGGGGTTTATTTACTAAATCTGGAACAGTGCAGAATTGAAAAGAGAAATTCAAATTTAGGCCAAAATAAATAATCTGGCAACTGTGATTTTTTTTTTCTACTTCTCTAATTCGATCGAAAGTTTACAACTGCTTTGTTAAATTGCAAAAATAAAAAATCAGTTGAACAACCCCCCCCCCAAAAAAAAACATGAGGGGCCTTCCCACTCTTTAATAAAGAATGAGATTGTTCACTTATTTCACCATGTATATTTTTACACAAATTACAGTTTATTTTTCTTAATGCCATATAAAATGACAATGGAAAAAAAAACCTACATATCAATTTATAATAAAGTGACATTAAGGCATCATGGAAATGTTACTTTTCTACAAGCCATTGTAAGAAGAAAAAAATAACTGAGTAAAGAAATAATAAAAAAAAAAGAACTGAGGGCAGAATCTTAATTGTATTATATTATCTGTACATGAATATCTAAGAGACATTACTTAAATTATTTATACTGACATTACATGGCCCACAATAAGTAAACACTGTTTAAAATTTGCTAAATTAATACTCAGTATTAAGCACAGACCAAGACTTCCCAAGATAAGACAGTTTCTCATTCCTTCACCCCACTAAACGCAATTGTTGCGTTTCCTGGCGTGAATAACACAAGGGATGTAACTAAAAAGAAAAACTTACGTCTGCTGTACTTACGTGCTACAGCAACTTCAACCACCAAAGATGCCTCGAGTATGTAACAGCGATTTGCTGTATACGTGCATGTGCACTTGGCATTTTCTCTAGCTGTACTATATGTGCACATGCGCATATGCGCTATGTGTATGGCATTGCAAGCATTAGCTAATTTGCTTAGTTGTAAGCTAAATGCAACAAATAGAAGCAATAACACATTTTAAAAAATATATTGCAAACTATAACTTTTGGGGGGTCAATCTTTTTTAGCAATTGAAAAAAAATAAATAAACAAAAGGAAATTACGACACAATTAAAAGAGACATTCCATGCAGGGGATAGAATAACGGTGTGAGACGCTACGGCAGAAAATTGTGCTTTACAGTACAGTACTTATATTAGAACCAAAAGCACAAGGACTCTTCCAGCATATGGTAGTCATTAATATATAAATTGAATTAACACAATAGCACAAAAAAGGCTGCTGTTTAGGCACAATCCTTGACGAGTAGATGCTGGTTTTGGGTAACAAGGATGCAGAGAGAGAAAAGGAAGGGAACCCATTAGATGTGGGAAGACATCAGAAAATAGAATTGAGGGACGAGCCAGAGAAAAGGGAAGGAGAGATATGGATAGAAGAGTCAAAGGTCATGGGGAGGACCATCAACCGCCTCTGTGCCTCTGCCACCAGGCCACTCACAACCCAAACACGCCTCACTTAAATAGTCAATCCATGGGGGTCAAATACACAGATACTGTTTCTCTTTCTGATACAGACATGCCTTCATTTCCTCCATAGTCCTAATTTCTTCAACTTTCACAACACATTAGTGATACAACGGAACACGAGTGCTGTTCCAGAGCACCGGGATCAAGGTCGTAGCAGGTGTTTAGGACCTATAGTTACATTTTATTTTGATATTAGGTTGTTCTAAAATGGAAGAAATGACAGTTCCTTTTTAATTCTGAATTTCTAAAATGAAAGTGCAAATATGATCAAAAAACTAAACAAAGAAACACAGAAAACCAACAGTTATGTTCTTATGGTTGTTGCATGAGATTAAATGTTAGATGGCCATATGCAGGTCCTCCAAAATCTCTATGCCCTTTTTTAGTTTGTGAAATATAAACAAATAAACTAACTTCATGAGTATAGTTGCATACCATGCTCTAATCTACCATTATACAGAACTCATGTAGATTCCACATCTAAACATAAATAATAACTAAAAAGATAGGTTAAAGTATGGGCTTTTCGCCAGTGGGGTATCTCAGGGATCTGTACTTGGACCCATTCTCTTTAATATTTTTATTAGTGATATTGCAGAAGGTCTTGATGGTAAGGTATGTCTTTTTGCTGATGATACTAAAATATGTAACAGGGTTTATGGTCCAGGAGGGATAAGTCAAATGACAAATGATTTAGGTAAACTAGAAAAATGGTCAGAATTGTGGCAACTGACATTTAATGTGGATAAGTGCAGGATAATGCACCTTGGACGTAAAAACCCAAGGGCAGAGTACAGAATATTTGAGTCCTAACCTCAACATCTGAGGAAAGGGATTTAGGGGTAATTATTTCAGATGACTTAAATGTAGGCAAACAATGTAATAGAGCAGCAGGAAATGCTATCAGAATGCTTAGTTGTATAGGGAGAGGTATTAGCAGTAGAATGAGGGAAGTGCTGCTCATGCCATTGTACAGAACACTGGTGAGACCTCACTTGGAGTATTGTATGCAGTACTGGAGACCATATCTCCAGAAGGATATTGATACTTTAGAGAGGGTTCAGAGAAGGGCTACTAAACTGGTCCATGGATTGCAGGATAAAACTTACAAGGAAAGGTTAAAGTAACTTAACATGTATAGCTTGGAGGAAAGATGAGACAGGGGGGATATGATAGAAACATTTAAATACATAAAGAGAATCAACACAGTAAAGGAGGAGACTATATTTAAAAGAAGAAAAACTACCACAACAAGAGGACATAGTCTTAAATTAGAGGGGCAAAGGTTTAAAAATGATATCAGGAAGTATTTTTTTACTGAGACGGCAATGGATGCATGAAATAGGCTTCCAGCTGAAGTGGTAGAGGTTAACACAGTAAAGGAGTTTAAGCATGTGTGGGATAGGCATAAGGCTATCCTAGATATAAGATAAGGCCAGGGACTAATGCAAGTATTTAGAAAATTGGGCAGACTAGATGGGCTAAATGGTTCTTATCTGCCGTCACATTCTATGTTTCTATGTTTACTGTCAGCTTCTATTCAAAGTTCCAGCCGGACCTGCTTTTTTAAGTGCTTTTCACCCATCATCCACTATTGTGTTTTTACACCGTGTACGTCATGCTCCAGAGCTCAGCCACTGTCTAACTTCAGAAATATCACAAGTAGGAAGGAAAATAGAGCAGGAAGTACATATATACAAAAATCATTCTAGTGTTTAAATATGTTATGCCTTACTACCTGCCAGGATTTGTGATTGTATGTTTCACCATGTAAATCATTTGAAGTATTTCCTCTTTCACAAAGTTCATATTCATTACTTATATCTGCAAAAACTGGTGCCATAGAATCAGTGACCCCTTGAGATATTATTAGATGGATATATAAGGTCTATAAGTGAGGCTTTCTACTGAGTATGACTTGCTGTAAACAAAAGACTTCTAAACAATTCCTAATGCAGGCTGCGTGTATGTCACATTCTTTTGTCAATGATATTCAGAAAATAATTGTCTTGAAATCGCAAAGCAGCACCAAAATCAGAGACAGTTTGTTAAAGTCCTAAGCTAATTATGCTTTGTCTTGCAGACGGAGATGGCCGAAGAGATTATGAGAGAGATGCCAGTGGCACACCCCTTCATAGTGACGCTGCCCATCAACAACTAATGTCCAGAGTTCTCAGCCCTTCACTCCCTGTGCCAGGTGGACTTGTCCCTCTTAGCACTGGCAGACCTAGTCCTCCCCATGAACTGCGTCTTGACCCCCATTCACAGGGCTCGGAACCTCTCCATCATCACCCCTACAAATACCCTACAAGTTATGATCATTACTTAGGAGCAAAAACCAGACCGACCCCCTACCCTTTGCCGAGCATCAGAGGACATGGCTATCACCACCACCATATGAACCCAGCAGCAGCTAATATGTACTCTGCAGCCGGGGCACCCAGCAGTTATGAGTATGGGCCAAGATAACATTTGAAACAAGAGAAAGATCCCATTGAGAGACTATTTAAAGCTATTAAACAATGGATGTTTTATGCATGATTTTAATTATTCAGTAGTGTATGCTTTGGATATTACATTACTGCTGAAACGAAAGTTGCCCTCTTTCTAAACTCATCAGGGCACCTCTCCAGCTTCCATTGTGATCTGTGAATAAAATCTTCATGCAACCAACATGCAAGCTGGATCTACCACTTAATCTGGCTGGGGCTGTTCAGATACTACGTTAGTAGAAAAGACAGGCTTTGCCAACAAGGGCACTTGAGTTCAACATGTCATTTGTTTGTTGAAATACTGTACTGGGAAAAGAACATAGACACTTGAGAGGAATGATGGAATGGACTTTTGATCATGCTTCTATTACTACTTTATTTTTGTAAAAACCAAAGCTATGTGTCTTCTTCTGAGCCTAAAGGAGAGGATGCACAATTGCCCATCCCCACAAGTGCACTGTTAACCATGATTGAAATAATATATCCCATCCACGGGGCATTGACTTCTCCACGGCCAGATGCACTATCATGCAAAAAAAAAAAAAAAAATTTAAAAAAAAAAAGGAAAAAAAAAAAAAAGAAGCCATATGCTTTTGTTGTTTTGCTGTTATTTTATTTTTCATTTTATGAAAATAAATGTTGATTTGACTCCGTGGCAGAGGAATCTGCTGTGTTAAAACCAGTAGTGATTGTTCTTTCTCTTCACGCTCTTTAGGACTGACATGCCAGCCCTACGCTTCATGAAAACATATTCTGAAAACTCAGTACAATATAAAAATTTAAAATGAGTTCCTCCACCAAACTTTATCAAGTCAATAAATCTGGTGTGCAGAGTGCTCAAGCCAGTCACATACGGCATTGTGTTATTTTCTAGTAGAGAACTAAATCTACAATGTTTTTTTCAAAGTCATTAACTAAATCCACCTACTCAGTACATAGTAATGCAATGACTCACCAGGAAATGTGTGTTCTGTGACTCCAAATATTATACATTTGCAGTGTATTTTGGAAATAATGTCTTTAAATGTCGCCTTAAATGCCGTTTTATCAAGTTCACACTATTGTCTCTATATATCCTGTAGTTACAGAGCGGTAGAGGGTCTGTTATTTGGTATGTGCCAAAGCTTGTGGTTCATCCACTGGCGTACTGTTTGGATGGATCTTCAGGGCTTAACAAGCTCAATGTGTTTTTTATTTTATTTATTTCCCTAAAACAGAATTAAAAGTTTTTTGCTATTTATTTCCCCTAGATGTCATTTGCGTCTTAACATACTTTGGCTCTACATAAAATATGATTTCAAGCAAAGACAGGAGAATTTCAGCAATCTGTGTAGATACATTTGTAGATATGTATGTAGAATATCTTAACTTGTTATACTAAAATACACTGAATTGTTAACTTTTATAAATTGTATTTTCCCTTCTTTTGGAAAGGATAATTGTGCTTATTTTCTTATGTTTCTTTACAAGAAAAAAGTCCAGAATGACAATGTGTGTCAGAGTGAAATTACTATAGCTCAAGAAGACCTGGTGATTTTGCCATTAATGTGTCAGATGTAGAATACTCACAATTTATGTTACATATACAGACACCCATTTTTGTTATTTGTGATATACAGGATACGGGGGGTGGAAGCCTTTTTATTATTATTATTACTATTATTAATATTATTATTGGTATTTTTTATAGCACCTTATTCTGCAGCACTTTACAATATTATGGAGGGGATAAGTTAACAATAAATGGGACAATTACAAAATGACACAGGAACAATAGGTAGATAAGGACCCTGCTCAGACGAGCTCACAATCTAGAGGATCAGATATACTTGACAGTAGGGCTGCCAGTGACAATTCAAGCAAATTGACGCCGGTGTCTGTCTTAATAAACATTTCAGGGCAAGAACATGTTATACCATAAGTTTAAGAATTATTATACTGCAGTGCTTAGATTGTAGACTTTATAGAGGCACCAACAGTGGTGTATTTTGGATTTGTGCTGCCCTAGGCAGGACGGTGCTCGGGCACCTCCCCCCCCCATATTTAAATTTTCCCCACCCCTTCCTGTCAAGGCCGCACTTTGACTGACAGACACTTTCTTACTGATGTATTCACTGACATACACTCACTAAAAGATAGTCATTGGCACACATACCGTTTAACCAACACACACTTTAACTCACAGACAGACAGACAGACACACACACACTCACTGACAGACACACACTCTCATATACACTGACAAACAATGACATACACAAACTCTCACTGATTTGACACACTCTGACAGACACACACTATTACTCAGACACAATCTGACAGACTCACACTCACTGACAGACATGCACTCACTGAAAGACGTGCACACACTGACAGACGCAAACACTGACAGACGCACACACTCACTGACAGTCGCATATACTCACTGATAGACACACACTCACTGACAGACACACACACACACACTCACTGACACAGACACACACACACACACACTTACAGACAGATACACACACACATTCACTCACAGACACTGTCACACATTTCCCCCAACACTCACACATTATTATTTAATTTTTTTTTTACTTTAAATCCACCCAGCCTCCCTGGGAGAGCTGGAGTGGATTACTTACCTGCGGTCCAGTGGGGCTATTGCGCGGGCAGGCAGGGGGCGGACAGGCAGAGTAGGCTGTGAGGGAGCTTTAATCTTCCTGCTCAGCTCCCTCGTGTGCCGCTTAGTGATGCCGGGAGCCGGAGTGACGTCATATTCCGGCTCCTGGCTTCATTAGGCAGCGCGCGAGGGAGCTGAGGAGGAATAGCTCAGGTGAGCATGCTCCCTCGCTGCCCGCCGCAATAGAAGCTGCCGCTCGCTTCGGGAGTGCTCATAAGTGGCCAGACGGCCAGCTTTTGAGCCCCCCAGGACACGAGGCAAACAAGGCATCCGCGTGGGCGTTTGGGGCGGCTTTTTTTGCCGCCCCCTGCGAAGTGCCGTCCAAGGCAAATGCCTTGTTTGCATCGTGTAAGATACGTCGCTGGGCACCAACATTACAGTCAATAGAACAGCATTGTTCTGATCATTCTGGCTACCATTGTAACATTGAGCACATGGAAGATTTTTAGTGACCTTTCATACAGCTCTTCCTGGTCTCTGATATATTAGGGAAGAGCTATCAAAGGAGTGGGTTCTTAAAAAGGGTGCATAGTGTAGGAAAACCATCATGAAAACCATTGGAAGCAGTAGGCATATTCCATTGGTGACTTTGCTTAATATCTTTGCAATATCTTTAGAATCCAAAACATTAAACACAATGATAGATGTTCCCCATTAGGCACTTCAGATGTGTTCAGCATATGACAAACAGTACAAATGTTCCAAACTGAACACCAAAAAGTAAACATGCTGTAATCTGAATTTCTATATCAATCTGTTTAAGACATCAGATCATTAGCTTTTTGGAAAAATTAAGAGTAATAACATCACTATATACGCTTCATTTGTGTAAATTATACTTTGTGTGAGTGCTCTTCCACACTACAAACCAACATAATTCAGTGTGCTGGATGTGACTGTATTACTGAGATCCACAGCAGGACAACTGTATTAACTGTGTTATGAGCAACTATATCAATATGGGCCAGCAACAAAACTCATTGTGAGCTGGATTTGAGTCCATCACCAGGATCCAAAGCAATGCAACTTAACTGGCTGTAAATTAAATACATGACATATGCATAGTTGCCTTTCTGGCATATGCGTGATAAACCCAAACCCCCACAAATACTCGGACACCTTTATTTGGGAAAATTATAACAGCTTTATTAATAAATAAAGTTAAAATATTTTAGGGTCATTGTCACATATTAACATAACATATCCCCCCCAACTCCTTTAACAATACTGCACCAGACAATGACCCACAACACAATAAGTAAAACCACATTATAACATATAATTAACATATAACATAACCATTGCCACCTAGGGCATGACATAAGCAATGCCGCCAAGGGCATGACATAACCATTGCCACCGAGGGCATGGTTTCCAGCTTTCTTCCATGTAGTGGCATACCGAGATACACCTTCACGCCAGGTTTGGAGCTACCGACGAGCTCGAACCTACCAATACTCTTCCACACAAAACTGTCCATGTAGGGGCATACCGAGATACACCCTACACACACCAGGTTCAGACCTACCGACGAGCTCAAACCTACCAATACTCTTCCAAACCAAACTGTTCTTAGCAAACCAAAACTATTTTCCATCAGGACAAACAACCTACACCCCAACTTCTCTATCCCTCCCCCGCCGCCGTGACCAAACAGGAGCTAAAGACCAAATAAGGGAGGGAGGGTGGGCAAAACAGGTAAGTGTGGATTAATTAAAATGGTCACTATGTATACTCCTCTAACACAAACTCCTCCTCCAGTTATGTTAGCCAGTCCTCTACATTACACCCCTCCTATGCCTGTCTCCTAGCAATGTCAATGCCCATTCCCCTTAGCTGCGCTGCTCCATGGGCTACATTATCCTGATTCACAGCATTAAAATCAAAAGTCTGAATTTATCAGTGTGATCAACAAGAGTAAAATGCAATGTCTGGTGTTTCAGCACAGAATGATCTAATGTGAATTCATCAGCATATCACTGTGATCGACATTATTATAACTCAGAATACTGTGTGTGAATGTATGACAGTGATTGACATCTATAAATCTCAATGTGTGATGTGTGATGTGTGACTGTATCAGCAGCAATCCCCAGGATTACATATAAAACTATGTCAATATACATGCATTGAAAATCATTTAAGTAAATAAAATTTAAATCACTTTGTAAAATAGACAGTCATCTATGTATAAATTATTAAAACACTCAGAAAGAGAGTGCCTTGCCCCAAGCCGCTTCTTAAAAATATGAAATAGGTTATTGCTATTTGAACGGTTGGACATTGTGCATTGCTATATTAGGCATTTGACAATTTATGAAACCCTTATGAAGTCTTAAATTTATTTCTGTCTATATGGAGTTTAAAACAAATTTTCCATTAAAAAAAACAAAAAACACCAAAAATAAACAACAACAAAAAAAGACTGTGAACCTATCTGATAACTGCAACCCTCGTGTATGTGGAGGGAAAACCTCCCAAAATGATTGATGTCTATGTTAAAACATTATTTGAATTGGTTTATATTCACAATATTATAGTGACAGAGTGAATTATTACAAGCTACAACTATGGCTGAGCTACCACATTTGGTATTGAGAGGTTTCTGTGATTTATCAAGGTGTCATATTCTAAAAGTGAGAAAGTTTCCATGGAAACCAGTGTAACCACCACTTTTTAGAAGAGGTGACTTGAAAAAAACTCCTGCTTAATTTTGGTCCATAGTAAGGCCGAGGATGTAGGGTGTATGCTAAGCACTGTATTAGTGGGCTATAACACACACAGCAGCACTGACATTGTATTTTTCTTTCAGTTTGCATTTCCTAATTGCCCTGTGAATCTTAATGATTATTGTATTGCCATTGCCACTAGCATTATTTGTAGTTATTGTCTATTCTTCTATGTACCGGGTCTCAATATCTGGGTGCCGCCATTTTGTTTTCCTCTGCCCATGATATCTGTAGTTTGCCCTTCTGTGGGATTCTATTGACTGATGGATTGTGGGTAAAGTTAGCCACTGAACTCAGACTCCACCCATAGCCATAGATTGCAAAGACCACTCTCCACATGAGAAAAATTGGTCCTTACTTTGACTTATGTATAACTAAAAACTAAGGAAAACTTGGGGGGTGGTGGGGAACAAATAGAGAAACAAAAGGATGAGGAGGAGAAACAAAAATTATTATTAAGGTGGAAAAGGACTTATAGTGGTCTCAGTTTAATTAACTTCACAAAGGATTCAATACCATTAGAAAAAAACATTAAAAATGAAGAAATATTTATCCGGGCACACAGGCCTGTTCCACTCATAATAAAGTCTGCATCTTCAGAAGAGCCTGTGTGTGCCTGGGTATTTATTTCTAATTTTGAAATACATTGAGGGATTTGTAGTTTCCCTTGTCTAAATGGCACAATAGTGTTCTATTTTTTTTAATTTGTCAGTGTAATTTCTACTTTGGACTTTCCAAAACAAAAACTCATAGACTTTAAAGGAACAATACAGGTTCAGGAACAAAAATGTGTATTCCTGACCTTATGGTTTTAAAAACACTATTTAGCACCCTTGCCCACCTTAAATATAGTAAAAACGTATTTCCAGTGCTGGCAGGTCTGCTGGCGCTAGCTCCACCCCGATCCACCTCCATGTCTGACATAATCAGA